GATCCCACCTGGGGCGAGGCGGGTAAAGCAGTGCCAGCCCTGCCGGGCCGCAGCACTGCCCCTTGGCAGCGGGGGGCTGATCCCCGCCCGGCCAAGCCACCGGCTCGCAGCTGTGCCCACGCCGAGCTCGCGCGTGTCCTCCCCGCAGGAAGCTGTCAGCGGCTCGTCCACCTGCCCGCTGCCACCGGCCGGCCGGCCGGGCACCGCCGCATCGCTGCTTTAATGAAGTGCCGTTTTAATGCACAATAAAAGCTCGTGCGAGAGAGGAGCCGGGAGATCCCCCCTCTCCCGCTCGATAACTAGCGTTGGAATTAAGCTACTTAGCGGGGCTAATACGGTATCAGCCTAAATGCCCCTATAAAGACTTTATGAGTTTGTTACTTTAATTGCTGACTTGTTACAGAGCACATAAAGGGGGTAATGAATGTAATAAAGCTAATTATCCGCGCATTTAAATCGTATGAAATAGCCAGTGTTTGTTTACACAACTGTGCGATCCGACGAAGCATTTCCTCCTCTGCCCACCGAGAGGAAAGATTTAATGAAATGTAGCTAACGAAATGAAAATTACCTCATTGGCAGGAAAGCTCCGCAAATAAACACATCGATTCCTTGCTCCTCTCAGCCAGCGCCAGCAGAAACCCCCCGTTTTGGGGGGTCTCGGGGTTTCGCTGTTTAAAGGACGCTGCTATAAATACAGCACCAAGGTGCAAGCCTTCCTCGCCAGCTCCACACTTTGGACACGGGTTAAACTGTTTGGGGGGAGGGGAAAAAAAATGGTATTTTGAAAATCTTTCCTCCCCGCCCAATATGTTAGCGTCTTTTCTGTTGCCAGCCAGCAAAAAAGCAGGGTGGGGGAGGTAGAAAACTGAAAGTGTTCATAAGCCGCGCATATTTCAGACCAAAAATACTGTTCATAATAACAATAATAATAGTGGTAGTGATAATATATGCCTTGCAATGTGGGCGAACAAATAAAACCCAGGTGACAGAGCCCAGTGAATGCATCCATTTAGAATCCAGATGTTCTGCATTCAGGGGTTTTATTCGTTTTGTTCTCCAGGATCCCAGCGACTACCGTGTCAGCCCTGACACCCGCGGAAAAATCAACACAGCCCCTGCGATGAGAAATGCGATTTATAGGTTTCTCCCTTTTCCCCCCCTTGGACCAGGTGGATTTTAGAGAAATACACTCCTTCTTCACATACAAACCCCCACTGGCCCACTTACTCTATTTTACAGGGTGCCTGAGTCCTGCCAATGTCCCAGTCCTTTATAACATTTCATGCACTTCAGGGGGTAGACTTGTTGTTAAATTGAGCGTGTAACGCTCTTACAAAACAGGTTTCTCTATGACATCAAGGTTTCTCTCTCTATGCCTAAGGTATATGATCAGTTAAAAAGGCTTAAAAGCTTGGGCAAATTGGATCAGGGAGAATCGTCACCCAACTTTCATTATTTCCAAGTAGTGTGATTGAATTAAAGGGCAGGGAGCTGGTTAGAAGGGAGGATCGAGGGGCTCGGTACGTAATGGTGTGGTATTAAATTCTAATTAGAGATGCAGGAATCAGTGATAGGGAGGTTGGACAGCTCGGTCCCCCAGTGCCAGCCCAATAGACTGATGAGTTATTGTCATGTAAAAAGCGCCAGCAATAAGACCAACCGCTTTGCTATTGTCCAAGTGGAAAGAGCCAAGTTTATTATGAGGACTATATGCTCTAGAGACCTCAGGCAAGGCATCTCATAGGAGGCTTTTTCATAAAACTAGACTCTGCTGGTAGTAAGGAGGCCACTTTCGAAGCAGGCGTTGAGCTGTGCACATCTCCCCACCACAGGCACCTTCTCCTTATCCAGCTTTTATTTCAGTTTTCCACTTGGCTGAGCCATCCAGAGCCTTTTCAATGTATAAAATGGAATATTCTTACCTCAATTCCTCTGCCTACGAGTCCTGTATGGCTGGGATGGACACTTCAAGCCTGGCTTCAGCTTATGCTGACTTCAGTTCCTGCAGCCAAGCCAGTGGCTTTCAATATAACCCTATAAGGACCACTTTTGGGGCCACGTCTGGCTGCCCATCCCTCACTCCAGGATCCTGCAGTCTCGGCACTCTTAGGGACCACCAGAGCAGTCCATACGCAGCAGGTAAGGACCTCCAGCTTTGTTCGCCTCGGCAGCCGCCTCGCTGCTGGTATATAGGAAGCCTTGATTGCATTTGAAAATGGAAATGTGTTTAGTATTTACCAAACGAAATTTGCTTACACAAATGAAAGAATTTATCACGTTAGAAGCGATTGCAGGGAGGGGTAATTCACTTACAGGGTTACACTATCCTAGTCACACCCGAACCGCCAACAAAATTATCTTAAGCTGCCAAAATGATAGGCATAATTTATTTACTTTGCGATGAGACGTAAAGCTTAGAAAATAATTAAATAACCAAAGAGTAAAGCTCATTACTGACACTGTCTTTTTTTTTTTTTTTTAAAAAGGGGGGAAACAAACTCAACAACAGCAACATCAATGCAGAGCCATTTCTGGCTAGTCAATTATTTTTGCAGCACTTTTTTTTTTCCCAGACTCTTTGAACGTGAGTAACTTGTAAGGATAGAAAAGTCCAAATAAATATTGAAGCAATTCAGTAATAGCATTACGGAGTGACAGCCAGCAACCTGCCTGCTGCTCCCTGCCATGTTTTAAGGCACTTTCAATCATTTTTTTCCCCCGCTACACAGTGCTTGCCTCTGCCGAGCACCAGCCCGGCTCTCGCTGGGGCAGCGCACCTAGTCTCTACCTGCAGCCGGATTTAATGCAAGACTGGGTTTGTTTCCACATTCACTACCCCGCAGCTGCCTTTGGTTTCTTGCAGCTCTTCGGAGATGTTAGGAAGCCCTTGTAGAGCAGCGATTCCCCGTTTTGATTAGTCTTCGGTTGGTGCTGGTGTTTTGGACTGGACTGTTGGGAACCCAGGGCTGATTTGTTGATCATTATTATTATTATTATTATTATTATTATTTGGTCGTTGGTTTTGTCTCTTCCTCCTCCAGTTCCCTACAAACTCTTCACCGACCACGGCGGCTTGAACGAGAAAAGGAAACAGAGGCGGATCAGGACCACGTTCACGAGCGCGCAGCTCAAGGAGCTGGAGCGGGTGTTCGCGGAGACGCACTACCCCGACATCTACACCCGCGAGGAGCTGGCCCTCAAGATCGACCTCACCGAGGCCAGAGTGCAGGTAGGGCCGGGCCCGGCCGGGACACCTCGGCACAGGAGGGGGAGGATGCCTCAGGCCCGGGCTGTGGGGGGTCCGGGGATGGGGCAGGGCTGCACTGCAGGGATGCGGCGGGTGCCCGGGGCGATGCCACCAGTGCATCCGCGGACGACCGGGCCAGCCCCTGGCTCGGAGCCCCCGTTGCGGGTACC